CCCTTCACCATTGTACCAAACCCAGGTTTTGAGGAGTGTAGGAACCTCACCAGCCCCTGCTCCTGTTTCAACACTAACAAACGCCAACTCTATTCCCATCCCCAAGACTCCCCACCGCTCAGGTCAGTAGTTCAGGCCCTTCCTCTCCCCCACAAGTCCCACCTCATCTTGTATGTCTTGGCCCCAATGGCTAAGGCCAACAGCTGGTGTCCCAGACAGATCCCGAAGACAGGTCGGGGATCAGGCTCAGATAAGACACGGCTCAGTGTGGATACCACACTGGGATAGGAGGCAGGGTCACCAGGGCCATTACTCAGGAAGACACCCTCATACTCTGGAGTGGGCAGAAAAGATGATGTCAAAACCAGTAGTTTAACCAGAGAGATACACTTGCAGCCCTTCTTTACCATCAGAGCGAAAGCCCTGATCTCTGTCTCCTTCCCTGCAACTCATGTTGACTTATAGCAACTGGACCAAGGGACAGATCTTCCACCCATGCTACCTGTCTGTAGCCCTATACACACCCCATCTACTCACCCTGGCTGTCTAATGCGTGGTCCCACGGTACCACAGTGACCTCGGCTCCACGCTGGCACAGACACCGGATCTGATTATACTTGAGACCACAATCCAAAGCAAGGATCCGAGGGGTGCCCCCTGCATTGAAGACCCGTGGGGCCTGAGGAATAAAGGGCAAGAGTGGGCAGCTGTGATCAATAAGTACAGATACACACACACAAACACCTGCCTGAGGCCTCTTGTGATTTGCCCTCAAGTGTTCACCCAAGTTAGGAGCAGATTAAAACTGCTATGCTAGAGCTTGACACTTTCCCACTCTACCTCTGTACCTTAATCGAGACCTCTGGCACCAAAGGGCGGGCATTGGGGTCCAAGAATGGCAGGGCTGAAGGCTCTGTCCCATCTTGGACCAGCTTTCCCAGCAGAGACCCTTGCTCTCGTAACTTCTTAGTCAGCTCCCGAGTATCCACTCCTGTCAAAACAGCACACTCTCAGAGTCACACTCCCCCAACTCAGTCATGCATGAGGTTAGACTCAGGAGCACTGCATTCCAGAGCCCTGAGTCACACACAGCTGTTCTAAGGGCATCAAAATCCTGGGCCATCCCGATGCAAGTACACCACCATGAAGTATTCTTGCTAAAAATATCACATCTGAATTGAATCATGACTTCTAGATTTGTTTACAGAAAATAATATCAACAGACAAAAGAGCACATTAAACAACACTACAGGAACATAATCAACAAATGCAGACTGTGGGATACTCTAAAGGAAAACTGACTTGTTTTTATCAAATGGGTTACAATGCCCATAAATTAGACATACCAACCAAATACAAAATATGAATCTTATTTAGATCACGATTCAAATAAGCAATAAAAAACATTTAGATAACAGAGAACACATCGCCTGGATATTTAAGAACTAGTGTCACTCATTTAAAGGTACTATAATGTTATTGTAGCTCTGTTTTACTTTTTTTATTTTTTAATTTTTTAATGTTTTATTTATTTCTAAGAGAGAGCGAGAGACAGCATGAGCAAGGGAGGGTCAGAGAAAGAGGGAGAAACAGAATCTGAAGCAGGCTCCAGGCTCTGAGCTACTTATCAGAACAGAGCCCAACACGGAGCTCAAACCCATGAACCGTGAGGTCATGATCCGAGCCTAAGTCAGACGTTTAACCGACTGAGCCACCCAGTCGCCCCTTGTGGCTCTGTTTTAAAAAGGACTCCTTTTTCATACACAGTGAACTGTTTATGGATGAAATGATATGGAGATCTGCTTCAAAATAATTAGGGGATTCTAGTTTAGTCTGAGTTAATGATTATAGAAGCTGAGAGGTTATTACATTATTCTCTCCTTTTGTATGTTTGAAATTTTCCATCTGAGAGCTCAGTTCCTTCTCCAATCCCCAGATCCCAATCTAAACCTTCCAAATCTGATACATTCTATCACAACCTTAGACTCAAGTCCCAACAGTACACAAGAGATCTCTGGATTCTTTCCGTCCAGGCACCTGTGCTCTGCCCAGACACAACTAGCTAGCACCATACCTTGGAGGCCAGGTATGCCATGCTGTTCCAGCCACTGATGCAGGGTGTGGGTGGCGCTCCAGTGGCTGGGCGTGGGGCAGCACTCTCCCACCACCAGTCCTGCCACGTGGATCCCTGAGGATTCAAACCACTGTTGATGGAACAAAGAGATCATAAGAGCTGAGGACCACACATCTTCTTAACTTCTTTCCCTACTCTACAGCCGATACCCTACGCTTCACCCACACTGAATGACCCAGTCATTCCTTTAACCCAGCAAACAACTCCTGCTTTTGTCCTTTACCAACAATGCTGTTCCCCATATGAAACAGTGAAAGCCAGGTCCTGATTAATCATTGAAAATGAATACTTTCCTTTCCTTCCATTTCTTTTATCCAAAACTGAGACTACAAACCCCACTTCTGTGAAGATGCCACCTTCTCACACTCCCTGCAGTTTGTGCCTCCTCCCTAGGGCTCATCTAAACTCACTTTATTTCCACCATTCTTGCTATTTACATTGTATTGCAAATGCACGTGTGTGTCTTCCTCACAGAGCTGTGAACTCCAGGAGAACAAGGTGCCTGATACATAGTAGCAGTCAACAAACATTTACTGAGTGTCCACTTAGTGCCAGGCATCGTAATAGATGTTGGGGGAGGAGCAGTGAGTATGCAAAAAGACAAGGTCCTTGTCCTTACCATATTAATTTGCTACTTAGGAAGCCTTAAAGTTAACAAAGTAACATGCAAATAAACAAGGTCACAATTACAGAATGTGTTAAAAACAGAAAATAAGGTAATAATAATAAGATGATAATAATAAGATAAAATAGGTGCACAATAAAGGTTCAGGGTACAACGTTAGGCATGATTTTACCACCCTCCTCCTCCAGTAAGGGATTATAATAATTTTTAAAGTTAACATAAATTTGCTACCCAATAGATAAACGTTTAATAATTAAAGAAAGAAATGAGTCATTTACATGGGAAGGAATGGTATATTTAAATCACATCTGTTTAGTGGTAGAAGGTTTAAAAGAAGATGGAGGTTGAGACTGTTGTTTGGGGATCTGAAGGAGTTTGGCAGAACGTTCCACAGCCAGGAAGAGGAGTCTGCATATGGCCAGGTGCATTCACAGCACATGTGCCACAAAAGTATCCATGGTGGGCTAGAGGCTCTAGGAGGCCTTATTCACCCTGGTTCTGTCAAGGGTCTCAATTCTGCACGTTTATAAACTCTCATTTTGTCAGTGTGTCTCCAGCTAACAAAGCTAAAGACTGCCATATGTTAACCACCACACCGCATTATAAACTAGAATATGGTGTACTTACAGATTTGTGATAAAGAACGGTCCCTTCCAGTAATAACAAGGGTGTTCCTTACCTGAGTTCCCTCTCCTAAATGTCAGGGTGAAATAAAGAATGAAAGGCCCACTAAGCCTGGAAAACCAGGACAAAATGAGTTTTAAGGAATACCGTACCTAGGCTATGGTGATTTCCACTATTAATTTCTGTGGATTTTTTTTCATTACTTGAATTTTCAGAGTGCAACTTAGTTTCCAAATTCCAGAGGAGGAGGAATGGATGGTACCTCACTGTGGGAGGAGACTTGAGTTTTCTTATTTAGATATGAGAACGCTACTGAAAAGTGGCAAAAATAAATTAATCAACTGCAAGGAAAGTAGGTTTAGAAGATCATTATCAACTTGGTTTGGTAGGTGAACTGCGATTCACAGCCACTGGGAAGGGTGTGGCCCTAGTTTCCGGTCTCTTTCCCACTATGTATCTTAAAGCATTCCTCCCATCACACCACTCTGCTAAGAAATCTTCACTGGTTCCTTATCAAAATTCAGACTCTGGCTTGGCCTCCAGGACTGTGCCTCTCAGAGTACTTAACAGGCTATGGGTAGTACTTGTATTATCACTTAAGTGCGTATCTTTGTTCTCTCCAGGATGCTTAACTTAATGTCAATGTCTTCACTTGACTAAGTTAACAATCACCGACGTGAAAAGGAAAGGTAGAGAAAGCACTGGGTGTGGCTACCTTACTGAGGCCGAATTCATCCACTTCATCTGCGGGGATGCCATAGTTGCCAATCAACGGATATGTCAGCACTAAGATTTGTGCTTTGTAGGAAGGGTCAGTGAGGGCTTCGGGGTAGCCGACCATACCGGTTTGAAACACTGCAAGAAAGAGGCAGGGCTAGGGCTTGGGCAGGACACCCTTCGCACCACTGCCCTGCGCGATGACAATGCCCCAGCGGAGGCTTCCTTGACCTTGAGGGATGAAAGGGGCTAGGGTGGGGACACGGGCACCAAATGGGGTGGGAAGCTGGGTGTGCTGGCGGGAAAATGGCGGGTTTAGGCAGGGCAGGTTGGGCAGAGAGGGGTAGCAGAGAGTGGGATGAGGTCGGCAGCCGGCCGGAGCTTGCTTACCCACTTCGCCGGCAGTCGACACAGCGGCCCCAAAGGGCTGGCCCCGCAGGACCGACCCATCCTCCAACACCAGGGCCGCCATGGGAACGGAGCTGAGAGGCGGGGGCGAGCACAGAGAAGCGGGAAGCGCAGCAAGCCCCAGCCGATGCTGGAACCACGTGAGGTCGGCGCGCCAGGAGTCGGTCCACGTGGCTAACCGCGCTGGTGGCTGGAGCGCGGGCCGCGGAAGGCGCAGGAGCTCCCGGCGCGCTGGGCTGCCGGACTGCGGCGGCGCGAGCTGCCGGCAGCGTGAGGGGCGGGGCCGAGACGTAAGGAGGCGGGGCCAAGCTAACATCTGCGTGGCGGGCGTCTCTCCCCCCCACTCCACCCTCCCCAACTCCGCCCCACCGCGAAGACCCGGGAAACCTGAAGAACAAAACCGATTAGTACGAAGCACTCTCTCCCACTCCAGCCAAGAAACACACAAATCCATTACGTCTTTCCCTAAAAAATAAAAAAATTGAAAAAAAAAAAAGAACGACAAGTAAAGATGTTTATTATAGTCAAGCACAAATGGGGCACTGGTCCTTGTCCACTCCTGGACTGCAATGTCCACAACACCCCAAAGCTATGCAACTTCCCATCTTCCTGCCAAATGGCCGCTTCATCCTCGAGGGGGGCCTGCTGGCCAACCATGACTGTCTCCCTGGCTGGGCTAAGTGAGATCAAGATAATCTTTAAGTCAGCAGGAAGACCTATGCAGTTCACCAAGCCTTGGCTTTTCGGCGTTGGGTGCCCCAAAGCAGAATGGAGACGGATAACGTAGTGGATCCCAGAATACCGAAGAACATAAGCAGTGAGAAGGAGCCCTGTGAATGACAGACCAAAAACACCTCATACCGTGTTCCAACAAGGACTATATCCTAACAGCTAATTCTTTCCTGGTATACTGTTCCCCTTATCCAGGGAAATTCTCTTAAGAGTTTCCTTCTCTAGATGATTTGCATCAGCTCTGATCTTACAGCTCTTCTTTCAGAGAGGTTCTTCCTTATGCATTTCTCTTATCCCTAATTAGAAGGCCTAATTCCTCACCTGGCGCATACATTTGTAGCCATGGAAGCCGTCAGCACAGACACATTGCAAGAGACCTGGGCCATCAGGTACACAAGATCCGTTCTCAGGACACATTTCTGGGAGCCAGAGAGAAACAGAGAAAATCATTGGATCTCATTATGTAGATTTCTCAAATATCTGCTTCAACTTAGATTCATTGTCTCGATTATTTCTAGGTCAAAGCAGAATAAAGAAGATTTCAGATAAATAGAACACAACAATAAGAATAATCAAATACATCTTATGACCTTTTCTTTCAAGGTGTTAGAGTTTCAGAAACTTGAACAAGACGCATGTACGCAACTTTACTGTTGGACCTAAAATGGAGAGCGCAAGTGAGGAAAGGCAGTTCCAGAAGGATGGAAGTGAGACAACATACCTTGGTCCCCCGTGCTGTTGCAAAGGTTCTTTTGTCCTTGACAGGTTTGGTTGTTTATATAAAAGGTGACAGTATCCCAGGCGTTAATACCGCCAGGACAGCTGACATCTTGCGGCAGTATCCTGAACACAACACAGGCAGTCACACCACACAGCCCCAAATTGCTGAGCTCACAACACTGTCCCTTTTTGGTTCTCTCCCACACTCTACGCCCTTACTCACAGAGTCTGGAGCTGGGTATAGCCACGGAAAATGTTGGCCAAGTCATCCCTGAGGGGGTTTGCTTGCAGGTCTCTGCAAAGCACACGATGTTAGCACTGTGCTCTAGGAAAACACTCTACTTCCATTTACACATCTTCCTGGACTGGTAATCCAGTTCTCATTCTGAGCTGTCCAGGTTTGGACATTAATATTCAAAGATCTTTCTAGAAGTTCATCCTCAGAGACTTTTCCCATCACCCTTTCACCAGAGTTGCCTTTTGGAGGGAGGATAACCAAACACTTACATGATGACAGCAGTATGTGCCTGAGGAAAGTCTGGACCAGGGTCCTTCAGAGAACAGTTCTGGAGATCCAGCCTGTGGAAATAATCAATACAATTATATGTCTCTCCTCTTCATTCACGGTAAGCTAATACAACCTGTTTTTCAGCTAATATTAAATGAATACAACCGTGTTCAAGGCCACACACTAGATGCTGTGGTAGCTGTTTTAATTTTGCACTGTCCTATTGTCACCATTAGTTACATGCAGCTATTTAAATTAAATGAAAAAAAAAATTCAGTTTCTCATTTGCATTAGCCACATTTCAAGTATTTAGTAACCACTCCCCAGGTGATTAGTGACTACTATCTTGGAAAAGTACAGATATGGACTGGTTCCATCATAGCAGAAAGTTTTATTGGATGGTAGTGTTCTAATCAGTATACCTATGCATTTGTGCATGTATTGGAAGAAATTTGTTTCTTGTCTAGGTTAGTGAATCTCACATTGTATTATGATTCTCAGATTCACAAAGGGCCTTCAAATGGGAAAAAAATGCAAGTCACATAAGTGAAAGGCTTTTCCAAGTGCATTTTCTTTTTAAATTTTTAAATGTTTATTTTTTAGAGAGAGAGAGAGAGAGAGAATGCAAGTGGGGGAGGGGCAGAGAGAGCAGGTGACACAGAATCTGAAGCAGGCTGCAGGCTCTGAACTGTTAGCACAGAGCCCAATGCAGGGCTTGAACCCACTAACAGTGAGATCATGACCTGAGCTGAAGTCAGATGCTTAACTAACTGAGCCACCCAGGTGCCCCTGCAAGTGCATTTTCTACCACTGATTGGAGAAAAATTACTGGAAGTTAAGGACCATGTCACATCATTTTTTCTTCACTATCTATTGCTAGTTTGTTCCTTTATTTTTCACATATTTACTGAGTACCTATTAACTACAAAAAATGGAAGAATAAAAGAAAACCTTCCATATCTTAGCTTTCAAGTGGCTTACAATGCAGCAGAGGAAGACCATCGCCAAAAATGAAAGCAATATAAACATGAAATTACAATATGAAAGAAATCACAGGAAAGTATACGAATAATTTTGAGTGGTACAGACACTAAGGATTAGAGAAGGTAAAAAAAATGAGATATCGCTCTAGTATTTGGTAGTAGAGAGCATTCACAGAAGATGCTGGAATTAAAGGATGGATATGTTTTAACTTGGTAGAGGAAGGAAAATTCAGGTAAGGAGAGAGTCCTGAACAAAGAAAACAAAAGTGGAACACTTTTGGAAGTAGGCAAGTCTGGCTGAAGCCAGACCCTCATGAAAAGTTTTAGTGGACAAATATTTGGAAAAAATGTCAGGAAGGTGGATTGAGATCAATCTGTGGTGGTTTATGGTTTGAACTTTATCCTGAGGGTAACAGACAATTCTAATTCTGAAAAACAGAAGGATAATGGGAAAAATGGTTTTTGGGTAGTTTCCTATAGAGAAGTATTTAGGTAATTAGAGAAAGGGAAGAATGGAAGCAAGACACATGACATTTACAGTTTTGAAGTGAGGGTGCTCTCAAGAGCAAATGCTTAGTAGAAAGCTAGAGGTGCCCATGTGCACCTGCAGCTTGGAGAGGGCCAAGGATTCTGAAAGAGATGTAGTTCTGGGAGATACCTGCAAGGTGGTTATAGCTGGAGACATAAGAATAGATGTAAAGGGTGTAAGAGTATAAAGAGAGAAAATGCAGAGACTAACGTTCATAAGGGGATGGAAAGAGGAATTTGCCTCAAAGACAAACTTGAGTTAATTGGAAGGCAAGAAAATTCTGTTAGCATTGTGCCTTGGAGGCTAAGGGAGTCATTTCACGGAGACACACAGTGAATAACGCAGAGTTGAAAATAAACGAGAACAAAGCTTCTTTTAAGAGGAAGCCATAAAAGGCTTTTTTTTTTCCTTTTAAAGGAGAAAAAATATGCCGTCTATGCAGTTTCAACAGGAAGAATCACAGGGTTGTTTAACTAGCTGAAACGCTACTAACACATTTAAAAGTGTGAGAATCACGTGGTTCATGAGTTTGAGTCCTAAGCACTCTTAGTGCGGAGCCTGCTTGGGATTCTCTCTCCTTCTCTCTCTGCCTCACTCTCTGTGTCTCTCTCAAAAGTGTGAGAATCATGGCTTGGATGTCTCCAAAATTGGCACCAATATTTATCCCAATAGCCAATCAGGCAAGCCTTTAAGAATCTGGTTCCAGAATTCTTCCAGTATCCAGGGTTGTCTTCTCTCTCACCCCAGGATGGTGCCCTTCTGATTCAGGCAGCAGCGGGCCTGCAGCATTAGCTCTGGTGTCTGCTTACAATAAAGTGCCACTTCTGACAAATTTCGCACACTCCCTGGACACTGGACGCATATCTGCAGAAGAGAAAAAAACTATTAGGATTCCAGAAAGAAAAGCCAAGAAAAGAACAAGCAGGGGTCAAAAGTTAACTGCCAACACACTCTTCAGAATCCCTGTAACACTGGGCAGGTGGGTGTCCTGTCTTTATGTCGTTTGACTAGGAGATCCATTTCTTTACCGAGAGCCACGATCCAAATCAGCACCCTAGAGACTTTCTATACCAGAGGTCACCCAGAAAGGCCCTCGTCTTCGAACATCAACGTTCAAACACTATTTATTATGCCCTCTCCAGTGACTTCTCAATCTGACAGACCCGGTTCGGGCAGGTATAAAAGCACTGCAGGTATACGAATAACTCAAGCATTACAGAAAGTACAGTCCTGCCAGGGCAGGGCACGAGATACGGCATTCGCGCGAGACGTGCGTGAAGCAGAGCCAGAGGACTCGTCGGTAGACAAACAATTTAAAATTATTCAAAAGAGCAACGAGATCAAATTTAAAAGGTCTACGTCAGCAAGGCGAGGTCACTGGGGGACCTACGCTGCGTGAGTACACGGGAGCCGGAGCCGGCGGGGCTACAGCTGGGGAAGCCTCAGGGACGAAATCGTCGCCACGGGCGGGCTGGGGAGAGCCGGGAGCCGAGGGCGGGCGAGCGCGAAACACGGCTACCCAGGAACTATGCTGCAGTCCGACCTCTAACTTGCTTCTGTACCTCGGGTAGCGCCGGGGCCCTTTCCACGCCCACAACAAGGAGCACGGCCGCTGCCCAAGGCACCAGGCTCGAAGGACCGGCCGGCCCGCGAGGGGCCATTTTTCGCTCCCTTTGTCCTTCTCAGCACCTCGCGAGACTTGCGCGTGTGGCCCCGCCCTCCGCGGGCGTGGCCCAGTCGGCCCGAAGCGGGCTGGGGGATTGCTGCGGGTTGAGGTCAGAGCTGTTGTCAGTGCGTCCCAGTCCCTGTTAGAGAGGACTGGCCAACCCCCTCTCCTTTCCCTCGTTAGCTAAGGCCTCCCCGCCGCCGCTCCCTCGGCTCCGCGTCCCTCGCTTCCGGGTACCGAGGTCGCGTCACCGCAGTGGCTCGCCGCCCACGCAGCCCTCAGGCGCCACGTGAGGCGGCCAGGGGAAGGGGCCCTGCTGTCACTCAGCCAGCCGGCAGGTGGCAGGCCAGGCTTTGCCACCGCCGCCTCAGTCAACTGAAGACCCAACAAATGGGGCGGGCCGGCGTCTGGGGCCGGTGCCGCGAGGCTCCCGAGAGTGGTGCCGGGGCAGGGAGGGGCGGGGCGAGTCGGCCCCCCGGTGAAGGCGCGGGAAGATCTGAGTTGTGAGCCTCGTGGTGGTAGTGGTTAAGCTACCTCACGTGTGCAGGGAAGGCGAGAAGCCAGCAAATAAAGAGGGTAAGGGTGATGGAGGAGCGTAGAGTGAAGGGCAAACCTCGGCGGGAGGAGACGAGCCTGGGGACGCCCCGGGCACCCTGGCCCCTTCACAGTAGTCCGGAGACCGCGTGGCGGTCGGAGCTTGGTGAAGAGGAAGGGACGGGATAGGCACTTCCCTGCCTTCTCATCTCCTTTCCCTTCCCAGAAAAACGGCCCGATGCTGATCTCGAGAAAAACGACCGGACTTTCTTAGCCTTGGCTGAGCCACGGAGGTAAGGGACAGGCGAGCGCTCCCCAGAGGCTGGCACTGCGGAGCCCCGCGCCCCGAGGGATTGCGTGGTGTCTTTGCTTAGGGCCGTGCAAAAGCTCATCAAAGCCAACTCCTCTGAATAGCCCCGCAGGCTTCCCTCCCACATCGCCGCAGGCAGGTAGAATCTTCCTGAAAGAATTTACTTTTAGCTGGTGGGCAAGTTCTCTAAGGCATAGGTAGTTATTAGCATTTTAACGAGTGTTCTCAACCCTTTCAGACCTTGAGGAGTTATAGGCACTAGGACAGATTTTGAAGTAATCTTTCTGAGGCAGTGGGTCCTCCGGCGGCCCGTTTTTGGGTTCTGTGGGAGTCCAGGCTGTTGAGTGCCGGTGGGGGTTGGGGTAGGTAGGGTGGTATAGCAGGTTTCTCTTCCCTTTCTGTTCCTGTTATACGTTTAAGAAGGGGTCTCACAGTCTACTATTTATGCCTTGTGTGTTTCAGTTTTAGTGAAACAACTCAGCTCTTACTTTTGGCTCCCACTCTCTCAGAGAGATGCAAGTCCATGGGCTTTACAATGGTGTGGAGTAGATTTTTAGTAGCGTTTTTAGAACGCCACTGACTATCCTGTTCTTAGAATCAGAATCCTTGCTAAAGAACACTTTGTTACCGGGTCGGGTTTTACCGGTCTTGTCTGCCTCTCTCTTCAGTCTTCAGGGAAGGTTCTCCATACTTCATGCTGTCAAGAAGCTCCACCAATTTACCCCAGAAGTAGAGGATCACCAGTTCGGTAAGTGTGTGTTCTAATCTATACCAAGACCTTTTTCCTTTCTGTAACCATTCTACCCTTATCATTAAGCCTTTACAGCTACACATTTTTTTTTAATGTTTATTTATTTGAGAGAGAGAGAAGAACAAGCAAGCAAGGCAGAGAGAGAGGGAGACAGAGACTACACATTCTTATTTGCATATAGCAGACACTTCTCTTACTCCCTGGTATTTTCCATCACCTCTATCATAGTAAAATTTGCCAAAGAGGAGCCCCAGGGAATCTTTAGGATAAACCAGAGGGGCCTGGTGGGAACACTGTTTTGAGAACTAACATTTCAGACTCCTAGAACATGTGATCCAAGAGTTGCCGGCTCTGATTTCCTATCTTTGTTGGCTCCACGAGGTTCAGAGTTCAGGTTTGGTCTGTGTAAAGCCATATCTTGCCAGCTAGGCAACATCTGCCCAAGAACACAGTGTGGGAGAATCAGAAGACAGCCAGGCTGATCTTTCTCCTAGTGGGCAAGAACAGAAGACATAGGTTATATAAATGTGTGTCTAGACTAGTTTAAATCTAAACTTTGTTCCGTGAATGACTGACTGCAATTACCATTCTGCTCCTGACCTGGTTCTAGGAATAGTAAGGATGTCCCCCTCCCCCCAGGTGAATCACCTGTCATACATGCAGATAGCACTCCTTCCTTCTCCCTTGTTTTGTATTATTCCCCGTAACTTTAAGCAAGTTATTTAACTTGTCTACCTCTGTTTCCTTGAGAACTAGAGAACGTTCATGCAAAGTGCCTAAACTGAGGTGTGGTGCTTTAAAAAAGAGGTCTTGAAAACAACATCACTTGTCATCAGTTAGGCTATCTAAAAACTTGATATGCTGTGGTATTTTCTCCATGTCAATGACAGTCTCACAGATATCCTCTGAAGATATTACAGTATAAATAAAGAGTGGATGGGTGGGGAATCACTAGACTTGAGCTCTGATTTAGACTGACAATAATTGGCTCTATGGTTTTGGAAAGATCGCTTGAATCACCGGGCCTTGTGTCTTTGTTGGTAACTGAGGGGTCCAAGGGATCATCGTGATAGTGATCTCTTATATTCCCTTAAGTTTTGAAGTAGTATAATCCTGTTCTTGTTCTGAGGATAATGCTATATTCTTGAGGATTAGTATTTTTTTATGCAGGAGTCAGAAAAGCAACTTTCCCATTTCTATCATCTCCTCCTTTCTAATTCCCTTTAGCACACAGCGCCAAGTGTGACTTACAGTGAAAGCCTAATCCAGCTAGGAATGCTGTTGAATGTGAACTCCCTGTTCCCCATTCTGGAGCTTCTAGGACTGAGCTAGAGTTTGGGGGTCATAGTGTGATAGGGCCATTTGGATAACTGGTTCCTTACAGGGGCCAGAACAAACAGCTGCTGGGCTTCACTTCACCCCTAATTCCTGATTTCATCTCCGCCACTTACAGAGCCAGACCCTCAGCTTCCGTCCAGCTTCAGACGCACACAGCTTCTCCAGGCAGCGCTGGAGATTACAGCAGGGATTACTTCTCTAGGTAGGTGTCTACCTCAGGAGGCTAGGAGTACTCTCCCTAGCTGTTCCCTTGCCCAAGCTCCCTGGCTGATTTGCTTTTCTATAATCGTAAGTTGAACTCCTGGCTCCAGCATGTTACCCTCTCACTTTTGAATTCTACCACTCTTCCCAGATCTGCTGTTGACCATAGTGTTCCAGGGAGAGGAGCTGGGAAGTGGGTGGCAGGGGAGAGCAAAGTGATTAGTCTGGGGATGCCTAGAATGGAGTTTGGGATTCCATGAAGCTAATCTTACTGGGGATCAGGGTTGAGAAGGGGTCCTGTTAGCAAGGGGGCCCTGGGAATATGGGAGGGGGCTGAGGCTAGGGGAAATAGAAGAAGCTATGCTGTTATTAGTCTCCATTTCTTCTTCCCTGCTGGGCTGTGGCGCCAGGTTGGGGTCTGCTGGCTTAGTACATTGTAGTGACTGGGTCTCTGCCTGCAAGTGGGGGCAGGGAAATCTTCTGAGAAGAAATGTGGCTAGAGTTGATTTTTCTTCTGTTACTGGGGTGGAGACCTTCAAGAAAGCTTTTATATTTCTCAGCTGTGTCTGCCCAAAATGGTCTTAGCCAAATAGTTGTCTCCCAGCTGTCTCACTCTGCTGTTCTTTCCTCCCCTACCAAAACCATACCAGGACCTCCAGACCTCCAAGGGCTGTACAGAACTGGCTGGTCCAAGTTTGACCTGTTGGATACACAGGGCTGAGGGCTGATGCACATGAAGTCAGGATAGGCCTGACTAGGAGCGGATTCCTTTGCAGCTCACCTTGGACAATGTCACTCGGTGGAGGAGAAGGACTGTGAGATCGTGGCTGGAAGCCAGGTTGTAGCCACTTGCCTGCTATTGCCCAGCTGAGTGGCAGCCCAGAGCCCAGGAGCAGCAAGTGGCTATAGGTCATAGACACAGTGAAGATATGAGTGTGGGGGTTAGCACCTCTACTCCCCTGCTTCCAGACTCTGGCGCAAATGTGGTCACATCTACCTTCTCCCTTGCGGACTATGTGGTGTTTGCCCTGCTGCTGGTTCTGTCCCTTGCCATTGGGCTCTACCATGCCTTTCGTGGCTGGGGCCGGCATACTGTTGGCCAGCTGCTCATGGCAGACCGCAAAATGGGCTGTCTTCCTGTGGCTCTGTCGCTGCTGGCCACCTTCCAGTCAGCCGTGGCCATTCTGGGTGTGCCGTCCGAGATTTACCGATTTGGGACCCAGTATTGGTTCCTGGGTTGCTGCTATTTCCTGGGGTTGTTGATCCCTGCACACGTCTTCATCCCTGTCTTCTACCGTCTGCATCTCACCAGTGCCTATGAGGTGAGCAGAGAGGGAGGAGCACATACGACCACCAGAGTCAGAGATGGAAAGGAGGAAGAGGGCACATATAAGGGATCTGGGTCCCTGGACCTCTTCTACCTAATGAGAGTGATGGGACACATCATGTGTTTCCAAGCTCTTTCTGGGTGAAGTCTAGTGGGAGTGGGGAGAGGAGGAGGATTCTGTGATGAGAGGCCCAGGGTGGATAGGAGTTGAATATTCCCTCATGTTCCTGGGCTTCTTGAGGGATGCTGTGTGTGAATTGTGGGAGTAGAGTGGGGAGGAATACCTTTAAATATATAGAGAGATATCTACGTATATGTATTTATGTCTATACATGTCTCCATCTAGTATCTGGAGCTTCGATTCAATAAGGCTGTGCGGATTTGTGGGACCGTGACCTTTATCTTTCAGATGGTAAGTGGAAATGAGGGTTGAATTTGAGTGTAAGATATGGTAGAGAGACCCAGACTCAGGCATGCTGAAGCACTCTGAGCTTTCCCTGCTCTCAGGCAGGATTAAAAGTCCTGCTAGGGGTCCGTGTCCCTGAAGCCACCAGAGGCATCTTGCTTCCTATTCCTTCTGGTTTCAGCACAGTCAGTATGGTGGCAGCAAGCTAAAATTTGGAAGAAGGGAAAGGAAAGTGAGCCTAGATGAAGGGAGAAGCCTAGTTTAGGAGCTGAGGTCCATCTTTTCTCCTCTCCCTGCCCGCCCTCATTTCCCTTCCCTCTCACATTCTCTT